TGTCACAGTCGAACAGATGACAAGCTGTATGACAGACCAGGTTTATCTCAGTCAGCACCCTGACGGACAAGCAAAAATATCTCCATGTGGGTTTTCTGCTGAGCCACACCACAACTGAATCACACATAGACAGTCTTTTTATTCAGCCTGCGTGATCCCACACGAGCTGGAGTGGAATCCGGGATGTGGTGTCAGTCAAACACCAGAGGGTGCAAGATTGCAAATCAAAGGCAATACCTCTGTGGATAACTCATCCTGAAGGCATCCCCGTGAGAGGAGTTTTGGCGAACCATGCAGAACTGAATTTGAAGAGAGAGAGAGGTCTTACATTTGCCAGCAGAGCCACAGGCTTTTCATTCAGCCAAATCATAGAATCAATAATGTGTACAAGGTCCAATGGGAAACAATTAACAGTGGGAATACAGCCACTGAGAAAACTTTTAGATAGACACTCTTCCTTAAACACTGTTTCCTGCAATATATGACAGCTCCTAGTGGAAGAACCTCACAAAAACTAAGCCTGTTTTGTGCCTTCTACCATTTCGACTTAGAATTTACACTAAATAGAAGCAATTGCTTATTTACCTGCACACAAACAAACTGGCCCCCTTTCCTCAATGAAGTGCACACAAAATCAGACAATTTGAACTGTATTGATCGAGTTTGCACACTACAAAAGCAAGTCACGCCAAACACAATTACTCAGTCTGCACAGCCATGCACCACAACTGGGTTGCGCAGAATCCAGGCGGCGCTCAGAATTCATAAATTAGGCTCAGGAGACCTCCTTAACTCCATCTTCTGTGTCTTTGCGGCATCCAACAATAAATCACATGCAGGGGAATGAAGAAACCAATGCAGGCTGTTCAGGGATTCTGCTTGTAGATTTGCATACCTCCGGGCACCCACCCTACTCCACCCCATCCCTTAATACTGGCCAGTAATGTTTATTGCACACAAAACATTGGAGAAGGCATCAACGAAATAACTACCAACATATAAAAGGGAGAGATGTATTGGCAGTCACATACAGCCCTCGATATAAACAAAAGCTTCCTGATTTTAAGGATTCACAATAACAGGTTGCAAGGGACATCTGCAGATAACCCACATATGCATTATCTTGTCAATATTTCCCCTTCCCTTCATTAAAAATGAAAGTCATCATTAGAGCAGACTGCTAACTTTAGCATAGTTTGAATAAATGGTAACCAAACTGCTGTAGTAATGACATCAAGACTGATCCGTATCTAAGGCTGTCTTTCATGAACTTCAGTGCTCTAACTCACTGCACCAGAATTATGATTTTTAGTTTCTTATCCCCCCCCCACAAAAAACCCCCCACAAAAAAAAACAGTAGGTGGTAGGACACCATATGGAACAGGGCAGTTCTTTTTGCCCTCGAGGCTATTACCAGACAATGCAGCAAAAGCCTTAGTGAAATGAAAGGCTGCTTTAGCCTCTACTGCTGCAAGGCTGCCCTGTCTTCTTTTCATGCTCCCCATCACACGCACGAAAATTACTGTACAAAAGGTTGCTGTACAAGGGAGCTTTTCCTCAGCGTGTCCAGCCACTCAAAGTGGCCAAGCTCCTGCCTTAGGAAATAAGCAGCATCAGTAGAAACACATGTGGGAGAGCTACGGGTGAGATATAGAGTTACAGTACAAATAAAAAAAACGAACATGCCATTTTTTAGCAAGCTCTAAAGGGATACCAGCAAATGATATACACGTAATAGGTTCAGTGTAAGAGCTCCCAGTGTCATGCTGGCACTTAACCAGCGTTAAGGATAAAAAATATTGCTGTCACTGCTAGTTGCATTCCTTAATGGCAGGGATTTACTGAACCACAAACAAAGCGCTGTGTTTTTCTGACACAAATATGCTTTATTTTGTTGATGATTGTCACATTAAGTGGAATCCACAATCCACTTTGTACATTCTCTATCTAATATTTTGACACACCAACACACGACACAAGTCATTTTCACTTTTTTCTTTTCTGGTCAAAAGGCCAAGAGACAGGTGGTGCCTCGTGAGGCTGTAGATTGCAGTCTTGTAATACTAGGCTTTATATAGTGTCAATAGTATTTGAACTTCGCTGACTTGAGACAGGTGAGAGTCTATAACCCAGTGAAGCAGCAACAAACCCTCTTATTGAAAATGAACAAATATTATTGTCTCATTAATTGCTTCGCATATTGATTGGAGACTGCACTGAGATGCTGTGTCACTTGCAGCTAATGGAATATTTATAAGCCTCACAGCCGTTTGTGGCCCTCTGAAAGAGACAAAAGTGCAGAAGGATTATAATAAAAGATTCTTTTAGACTATGATTTCATTAATACTTCCTCTCATCAGCTTGTAAGTAAAAGACTTAAATATTAGTGTGTCATTTAATGCCAAACATCTCTGTGATCTGTATCACAAATAGGCTACGTACTAATTAGATATAATTAGACTACTCAATCTAGTCTCTTGAACACTTTCACCTTCAGGGTAGCCCTGTTCTAATGACCACTTGATTGAAACCCTTTCCCAAGAAGAGTGACAGTTTGACCTGTTCATTATTTGACTTGCCAAGATTTAAAAATGGACTCTGCTGAAGAGCAGCCAATAAAAATTCCTGAATAATTCAAGATTTATTTTTTAATTTAAGGGTTAAATTCAGAGTTTACAAATGATGCCACCTAACTTACGTGTATTTTCAATTTTACATTAAACCATTTATAATGCAACCACACTTACACACCATCGGTGAATGAAAGGCAGAAATGAATCTTGCAGATCACATCCTGTGCAATAACATTACATGTAAATGCATATCAGTGAGCTCACAAGTTGTTTAGAGGCAAAACTGTCTACTCATGAAAATACATGAATGTTACATTTGAATAGGGAATCTGTATGGAATCAGAATTACAGATATTATGGAGTATGTGCCATAACTAGCAAGGGTTTAAAGTGTAAAAAGAAGATATTGGCTCATAATCTTTGCTCATTGACAACACATCTATGCAGCAGAGGGCTGATCAATCATACAGCGCAGCCTGCCTCTTTATCACTGTGCAGGTCCACGCTGGAGGGGACAGTCTCTTAGAACAAATTCTCACGTCTGACTGTTGGAGGAATGGGCATTGTTTCTGGTGCAGATATTTTGCTGAAAAAGTCTGCATGGGACAGAAAGACAATGTAGGAGTGACAACGACCGGACGTTAGCCCAGCCTGCACCGCAGTGCACAGAGTCAAGCCTGTCCAGGTGATGGATATTAACGAAGAAAAGTGTGAACGGGCGAAAAGGCAAAAACACCAATTCCTCACTGCACATCACAAAACACCCCCTTCTCTCACACACATACACGTGCTCTGAATCTAAAAAGAAAGGAAAAAAAAGTGCGGACAAAACAAAAGAAAATGCACACATACCAGATCCGTGGTCATATTTTGTTGAGTTGTTGCAATCATTGTTATCCGCTGCAAGCTCTGCTCTGCCTCTGTAGCCTCAAAACTCGCCGAGCTGCTGCACTGTTGTCTTGCGGAGCCTTTTCTGTATCCTCTGCTTCTTGCAAGTTTGTCCTCGGTGGGCTGGTGGTCCCCCTCCCCACACTCAACCAACCCACTCCCTCTAAACGTCTCTCTCCGCCTCAGTTTCTCTCTGGTTGGGTGCCTTTCGTTCATTCACTCATCTGTTTTTAGGCTATTAATCATGATAAAACATTGTTGGGCATGTAAATACAACCGTAGGCGACTCCAGCTGTTCAGCTTTTCCAGTCCCCCTTTAAAATGCGTAATTATAAAACAATAAAACATTTTGGAGGTGATATAAGCCAGATTAACGTAAAAGCACAGGTAAAGGTTAGTGCTATAATTTAATAGCGTGACTATTGCCTCTATAAGTAAATTAAAGCGCAGTGAACGCCTATTTTAATATAAGGAGAACCACAATAGGCAAGGACCTTTCTATAGACACATTTAGCCCATCTGTCATGACTTGATTAGCTCATACACAATTATGAATATAATATGGCCAGAGAAGAATAGTATTGCTTTAAAAGTATGATTGGAAAAGTTAAAAGTTAAGGATGTGTGTTTTAGGGGGTCGAACAGAACACATTTATTATGGAAAAAGGGAAACTATTTGCACTCCTGTCGAATAGAAACATACCCATATTATAAGGTGAAGATAGTTATTTTTATAGGTTTATTTAAAAAAATTTCAATAATAAATTATGCATAAAAATTAATAAACACAGTCTAAGCGAAAGCCCTTTGGGACGTTATGCTCTAAAATATATAATTAATTTCAAGCAAAGCAATAATCAAAAATTGACACGGAAGAGTTTGATATACAGTGTAAAATTCTTAGCTGCCCTGCTGTGATCCTGGTTGTGCAGAAGGGTTCGTCCTGTTAAAAGGGAGTTGTTGTTTTTTTCTTTAAAGTGCTTGCACAAATTGGGCTGCCTGATTTGGGGGATTTTCTCCAGAAAGCTATAGGGTCTTTACTTTACGGTATAAAGCGCCTTGAGGCGACTCTTGTCGCGAACTGGTGCTATATTAAAAACAAAACTTTAACTGAATTATGACCTCTGTTGGACACAAACAGGTTAAGGATGGTAATTATAGTTTTTGGTGTATCCGTGGCCCTGCAGATTCTGGCCATATTACTTGCTAGCATGAGCAGTATATGTTTTATAGAGTGTCTGTGTTTTGACAGCCGCAGCATAACGGCATTAACAGTCCAAACTCGGAAGTCGTTATTTTTCCACTTACGTGCTCTTGGGAAAAAGCACGGGTCTCTATTTTTGAAAGATATGACCGGAAGTATTACTTTTTATTCTCATTTCTTCTTTGTTATAAATTTATTCGCTTATTTGATTGCTAAATATTAAATGTATTATCATTAGGGTTAACACTGGATCAGTTCTACCCATTCTGACGCAAATCTACTCGCTTACCTGTGAAGCGACTGGCCGTTACGGGGGTTTTACTTTGAAAATACAAACACGGAAGTTGCATCTATTTTTTGCGTTCACACCCGAGCCGTCTTCATCTCTCATTGGGTAGCGGTGAAATTTGAAATGCAACCCGCTCAGTGTGGCAGTAGCTGCCGAAGGATGTGGACAAAGGTTCGAAAAACTAACAGCTAAAAAAAAAAAAGGAAACGGAAAAAGAGCAGTGTGGTGGCTAGATATCACCGAAAGGCTTTTTTGTACAACGCCTCTCCAGGTATGTAGGTAACTGTTGCTTTCTGAATTTTGCAAATGGAGGAGATACACCACCTAAACTCAGAGCCATCGTAAACGCCATGTTGTTTAGGCAGTGTGCGGTTAATAGAGCGTTTAGTCTTTCCTGGCGTCAGAAGAAAAGCAAAATAAGCCAGCGTGTTCAACATAACGGCAAACACATATTTGCGTGAGCATACCAATACAGCAAGTTATCTGTTTTGGTTAAAATACTTGCAAAACTGAAAGGCGGCTAGCAAAAAATCTAGATAATCCACGGTATTCTGTGTGGTTGAACTTTAAAATGTATTTCTTCTCAGAGGGCCTTAAATTGTAAGACACCATGGAGACTGCGGTGCTGAACCTCCAGAGCTTATATGAAAGGATGAGGACGCAAGTTGACCTTCTCAGTGAGAACATTGAACCCAGTGAGTATATCATGGCTACAGGTTCTGTTGTCTTTACCTTCTGTTAATTCACACAGGCACTTCAGGCCCCTATAGACTATACTAATGCTCCCATTTTCCCCCCTAGACTTTATTCAGATGGCACAAAACTTTGATGACTGCCGTCGCAAATGGCTAAAGACTGAGCATGAACTGGGGTCATGCAAAGAGATGCTGAGAAAAACGGAGACTGAGAGGGGAGCCTTGGAGGTCAAACTGAAGCATGCCCGCAACCAGGTAGACGTGGAGATACGGCGCAGACAAAAGGCTGAGGCAGACTGTGAGACACTGGTAGGAAGGATGACTAGACCCTCATTGCCAACCCTTCTTTGTTGTTGGTGTCAATTTAGGCTACAGTGTGATTTCAATTGACTCATTTTTGTGTCGTGCTTGGATTTCTATGATACAGGACCGTCAAATTCAGTTGATCCGGGACCTCTTGACCTGTGAGGGATCCAGTAACAGCATCCAGTTGAGTGCAGAACAGCGCTCAGCTCTGGCTTTCCTGAACACAAACTGTCAGGCAACAACCAACCTTAATACCAGCCGAAGGTAAGTAACTCAAGATGTTTTATGTTCAATTCAAGCTGTTTAATGTAAAGCTCTTATTTCTGATTACTGATTGTTTGATTTTAAGGTACTTTCTCTTACACATGGGTACATCTAAACATTTCAGCCTTTTTACTGAATTACTACTTAGAGTTTTGAATCAGCCATTAAGTTAGGTGGGACACATGTGAGTAAAAGAACAGCATTAGCTGATCTGATGCATATTTTCTGTTGCTCTTGATAGACTGATGACGATAGATGAATCAGGCTCCATCTTGTCAGATATCAGCTATGACAAAACAGATGACTCTCTTGTAAGTATTTCTCTTTTACAAGTTAGAACTTGAATGTATGGGGAAAAAAACCCTTTAATTTTGAAACTTTTTTTTTTTACTTTATTTTTATCACTTTGTTTCAAAGGAGCAGACATAACAGAGCAAAATAAAACGGGTCACAAGGGGTAGGTAATACAATAAAGCACACAGTTACTGTGTACTTTATTGTATTACTGCTTTACTGTGCTATTTTATTGTTTTTTGAACGTTATTTTTATCATTGCGTTTCAAAGAAGCAAACAGATTTCACAAGACAGAGCAGATCAAAACAGGTCACCTGGGGTAATACATGAAGCACACAGTGGCTAGTTAAGTACACGATAGTGATTGTTTTTTGAATTAATCCCAGGGGTCTACCCACGCACCTGTGGAAAATCAACAAAAGAAAATGAATGGAAGTCCAGACTAGTCCATCAAGTCCTTCCAGACCCCAGATCAAGCCAGATGTTCACGCATGAAAAAATCGATTATGATCAGTGCACAATGTTCAAAACTATGGTTACCACAGGAAGAATTGTCTAATATGATATAGTTATTATATAATTATCAGTCAATCTTCTCCTTATCTCATATATAACAGCCATTTTAATTAATACTTCTGAAATGTATCTCTACAAACTCTTTTCATTTCTTTTACAAGGCCAGCCACATTCTCAAATTTAGTGTCTTCAATTCATGATACTATCTCTGAGCAGTAAGATTGGACTGCTGGACATTTCCAAGATAGTGGTCAGCCAATTTATAATTACATTGTCAGGTCCATGAGAATTCTCTCCACTGGCTACGACTGGAGGTGCTGACATTTATTTCACATATATTTTAGCGATCCTCATTTGTTGGTGTTATATTTGCTTCCTTCTCCCATTTAACTTTGAAATATAAAGTGAAGTGTTTCCTGAGAAATTGCATACACTAATACATTGTAGATACCAGATTGTTGTGGATGTTGTCCCTGTCGGTATCAATGAAAATAATTGAAATCTGTTAATGACATGCTCGATCTTGACAGGATTGGGATTCCTCCACTGTGAGGACAGTGCGACTCAAGAAACGAGAAAAAAGGGTGTGTTACTTCTGCTCTTTCAAATTTGAGAAGTGATGACATTGTTTTATATGTAATGGAAACGAGAGTGTTAAAGTTCTGTTTTGATTTTAGCGCTCCTCGAGAAATCATGTTGATGGTCCTCCAGTTGCCTCCAAAAGGTCTCGATCAACAGGAAAAACTTCAGAGATGGTAGGTTATTTATTTAGCTCTGGGTATTGCTTTCATATATCATACATGATCTTAATCATTCATCATTTTTGTTAGCTTTGGCAACCAAATGCTGATGGCAGATTGCAGCCAAGTCTTGCAGCTCATTGCTGTGCCCTGATGTAGTTTGGCTGTATTTGGATATTCTGACTGTTCTTATGTGTTGTGACAGGGAAATGAGGCCATTGTGACAAAGACCACAGTGACTGTTCCTGCAAATGGAGGATCTGTTGAGGCGGTTTCTACCATTGAGACTGTTCCATACTGGACCCGCAGCAGGAGAAAGACTGGTAAGATGTCTGTTATGAGGTAGTATACAGCTAAAATATCTGTGGACGCTGCTTTTATATATGGCTTATCTATGCTGGAGTTATATTCCAGCCTGCTCAAATGATTGTTCTTAGTTTCATCCAGCTAACTTTGTTCTTCAGTAAGTAAAATCATCTACTCGGCTAACAAGATAACAACATGGGGCTCTGTTGGGTTTTAGCAAAAGTAATAACACATAATTTAATGGAAAAACAATGTTGGATGTGTTGGAAAAAAAACTTCATTATGCAGTAGGAGTGATTCAGAACTGCACGATGAAGGTTTGTGCTATTTTACAAGCAGGTATTTATTTTCTATCTCTCCTGTTCAGCTGCTATGGAATGGGACTCTGAATCTGTCAAGTCTGAAGATGTCTTCAAGCAGCCTGCCAACCCTGAGCTAGAGATGAAAGCTGCGCCTAGTACTCCACAAAGCAATGGAGGCGTCCGCCTTCATGAGTTTGTCTCCAAAACTGTAAGAATGACATTAATGCGAAAGAACAGCACTGACTGAATGTAACTAGAAATGCACATTTTCCTTTCAGATCAAAGGGGTGTTCTCTTTATCTCCAAATTAAATATGTTTTGCCATTATACAGCAATAGCTGAAAAAGTAAAAGGGATATTTACTTATATATTTTAAGAATTGAATATGTTAAATTATTTATTTTTTTATTGACTTAATTTAGTGTTGCTATAGCAAGGGTGCACAATTAATTTCCCCAAGGGGCCACATGAGAGACTGGGGCTATTGTGGTGACCTCCACTAACATGCTTGTGAAAAGATAAAATTAATATTGAACAGAATTGAGTTCAGCTTATTGGTACCCCCCTCAACAATAGTCCCAGTTTCTCTTGCGGCCCCATGGGAAATAAATTACCCAGCCCTGCGCTTCAAAAAAAATGTTGGCATCCATATTGACAGTGTTGTTTGCTCATTTGTATCGCTATTAAACAAAGTGTCTCTGCTTCTTTAGCTGCATATATATGGTAGATAACTTCACAGTCTCCTGTGGAATGTCTTTATAGGTCATTAAGCCTGAATCCTGTGTGCCCTGCGGAAAGAGGATCAAGTTTGGCAAGATTTCACTGAAGTGCAGGGACTGCAGGGTGGTCTCGCACCCCGAGTGTCGTGAGCGCTGCCCTCTACCATGCATCCCCAACCTGGGTGGCACACCAGTCAAAATTGGGGAGGTATGTAATACAATTTTTACTCTTCATGTGCAGGTGGATCCACTGAAATTTAATCACAGTTCTGGCTGCTTAACCCATATCCTGTCTTTGTTTTTGTTTTGTTTTTTCCAGGGTGTTCTCGCAGACTACGTCCCAGACACATCACCCATGATCCCTCCCATTGTGGTCCACTGTATCAGTGAGATCGAGCAAAGGGGACTGCATGAAGTGAGTGCTATTTCACTGTCCTAATATTATGCAGAAATGTGAAGAACAGTAAAGCCTCAAGCCCCAGTAGTTATTTTTAATGTCTTCCCCTTAAGCTGAGACAGAGCTGTAACTAAGATTTTACAATCTGTTACTGGGAGCTTAAGTTTGTAATTGGGCTATGGAAAGGCTCCAGATCTGCTGATTGCTGTTTGACTTTGATGCCATCTCTTCTTTCTGGGTTGTTTATTTAGCACTTGTCTTACTTGCCTTTTTTGTGCATAACTCAATTTCATGTGAAAATTGTTGAGTTTTCCTACCCGAGTTTCTTGCCTTTTCTGTTCTTATTAGATATCCTTTATCTTAACAAGATGAGTTGTGGACTCATCAAACCCTCTTATTTGCAGAAATTTTGCTAAAATTAATGTTGAAATGGAGCTAAAGTCTGACTGACAGATCTGCTGATGCAAGCTGATTAAGCTGTTTTGTTATTGTTCTCATTTAAATGCATTATTATTATTATTATTATTATTATTATTATTGCTTGTAGCTACTCTGTGTGATTTCATGTGCTATTCTTTGCTATTTATCAGTAAATATTTAGTTGAACCATTTCTATGAAAGGGTGAAAGAGGAAGGCAGAAAATTAAGGGAATCAGAGCTAGCAAATGTCCTGGGGATGTTGTCTTTTGGATATTGGATTTTTTTTTTATTCGCATAGTACTAAATCACAGCAATAACAGAGTTAAGACACTTTATATTGAAAGATAAAGACCCTACAATAATAGAGAGAAATCCCCAACAATTGGACATTGCCTTATAAATAAGCACTTGGCACTTATCTAAGATAAGATGGGGCCTTAATATTCCAGACCTCTTGTTTCTGGATTTTAGTACCTTGCTGCAGAGGTTCCCCTTCATATCAAACAGTACGTTACAGATAACAGCTACAGTAATTTTCCCTAGAAACAATATCAGTATAATTCAGATAAAAAAAAATGTTTTTCCCCTTACTCAGGCTGGACTGTACCGTCTTTCTGGTGCTGAGCGCACTGTGAAGGAGCTGAAGGAAAAGTTTCTCCGTAGCAAAACTGTTCCTGTGCTCAGTAAGGTGGATGATATCCATGCCGTCACTGGCCTCCTCAAGGACTTTTTGAGGAACCTTAAGGAGCCTCTTCTCACCTTCCGCCTCAACCGTTCCTTCATGGACGCAGCTGGTAAGAGTGTGTTTACTAGTCTAGGGTTTTGGCACAAAGCAATGTCTATTTGAAATAACTGCAGTGTTGAAAGTTAAGCAATTTATCCAACACATGATTAAATACAGGTTTCATAAGTGCTTTTGCTTTACATTTGTGATTTGTTTTGATGAGCGATGAAAACCTCTGGTGGGAATTTGCCTGGAACAAAAACAAAGGATCGATCTCTAAGTCTGTTAGCATTTTTAGTGTTTGTTTTCTACTGTAGTCAGATGCATTTTCCTTCTAGCCGCTAATAAATCCACAGAAGTCACAACACCCTATTTCTTGGTCTGTACTGAAAAAATGTGTTTTCCTTGTTTTCCCACAGAGATTTCAGATGACGACAACAGCATAGCTCTGATGTACCAAACCATTGGTGACCTGCCACAGCCCAACAGAGACACGCTGGCTTTCGTAATCCTTCACCTTCAGAGGTTTGCACCTACTCTTCTCTCACCGCATAAGTCATATATACATCATGTAAAAGAAAGAAAGTTTATTCTCTCTAAAAAGAACATAGCAGCGCAGTTTTGGTTTGCGAAGTTGCATCTTAACATCATCTGTCTTTATGGCAGATGAGACCAAAGTTTTTGGCCATGATGCACGGCATCACATTTGGTGAAACCCAAACAGCACAAATTATGTCAGCACAAATACATCATGAAGCACTGTGGGTGATGTCTGATGATTTAGACTCGTTTTGGACACCTTGCCAGCATGGAGTGGAGCATAAACTCCTCTTTATACCAAAGTTATTCCAGAGTCAAATGTTATGCATTCTGCCCCACAGCTAAAGCTTGGGCCAAATTGATTAATACAACAAAAAAAAAAAATCTAAAACTGAATGGCTGAAAAAGAAGAATCAAGGTGTTGCAATGGGCCAGTCAAAGTCCAGATTTGAACCAAAATGAAATGGTGTGGCATGACGTTGAGAGCTGCGGATAAATGAATGCCCCACAAACCTCAATGAACTGAAGCAGCACTGTAAGAAGTTGGCCAGAATTCCTCCACAATAGTGTGAGAGCCTGATAAAAGTTATTACTTCTAAGTTATTGCTGCTAAAAGTGATTCTACAAGATATTGAATTATGGAGTATACTTAGTATTTCACAGGCTTTCAGAGTCCTGTGGTAAATTTCCTTTTCAAGCGACTGTATTTGTGCTTTGATAGATACATTTTAACTCTAGTCTCTTTGTACCTCACCTTTATAGAATATCGATATGCATTCTCTAATTCTAATATCGGTCGAGCTATGTCTAGGAAAAAAAGTGCAGAATTGCATAAACAACCTGAACTTTTTACTTTATATTTATTTCTGCTGTTAAACTTAAAATGAACTTTTTTTTAAAGGATGCTCTTGTTTTTACTTTTTATTATATTTATTCAAAAACCGGTGGATGCTCATTTTTTAAAATGTTTCAAATCAGCACATGTACTATTGTACCTGTGAGCCAAAAGCGCTGTTTGAGTTTTCTAAACTAAGTCAAAAGGCTTAAAGGCAGAGAGGGGCTGCTCCAAGGACTGTATACTATAAATGATTATTTTAAGCAGTGAATGATGCAAAACAACTTTCTGCAGGCACCAAATTAACATTTTGGAGCTGGACATGGGCATTATAGGCCCTCTTTAAATCTCTGTGTAATCTCTCGGGAGTTATTTTCATATATATATTTCATATGTCGTTGATTATACATCAGCTGGTCAGTACTGAATCTAATCAATTCTTTCAGAGTTGCTGACAGTTTGGACACCAAGATGGACATCAGTAACCTGTCCCGAGTTTTTGGTCCAACAATTGTGGGACACGCAGTTCCCAATCCTGACCCTATGACAATCCTACAGGATACCAAACGACAGCCTAAGGTAAGCTTGGAAGATGAGACGCAGCTCTTGCATACCTGTCCTAGTGTGCACTTGTTGAGCGCCTGCTGCAAAAATAAACTAAAGAAGAGCAGCGGATGCCTCTCTTTAAGGTGTAGTTGCACACACTTTACAACTGCACAGTTTCCTTTGCCTTAAACTGAAGCAATCTTAAATGCTGAGAACAGCTCTTCATCTTTTTCAATTACTCTTGGATTATTTATAACTGATTCTCTGACAAAAGTGACCATAATAAACCAAGTCTGTGGCAAACACAATTGGCTCATTTTAATGTGTTCGCTGCAGGCATCAACAAAACGTGTAATTTGCCCAGGGGTAGCCAGACTTCTTGCAGCTGTTCCCTTCATTACACTTGTGGTTAGAGTCTCCTTCCACATTTGCTGGTTGAATACCTTTAATGTGAAATACCAAGTTGATGAAATCACAAATTTATCTCAATGACACAAAATGACATGCAGGTTTCCTGTGAATCCCTGTGAGCTGTTATTATATAGAGATGTACCCCCACAATGTAAAGATTGTTTAATAGTTAGTGCTGGAAAAGAATGCATAAATAATTTTTAAGATGTCTTAAATCTCACAGATTATAAATGCATTATACTTTCACTAGAATTTGCAGCAAAAGCTGCCATTTCTTAAACATTTACTTCTAATATTTATAACATATTAAAGTGTTTGTTTGTTTGTTTGTTTGTTTTTTAAAAAAAATCTTAATTCTGATGCATTTTGCTATTTATCAGGATGGCAGTGTCTGGCAACAGATTTAATATACATTATGTGGAATGGCTAAATCTAGGAGACTGAGCACACACAACAGCTGGAGGCCACAAAAAATCTTACAGTGTAATATTGCACAGAAGAAGAGCATAACACCATTATTTTTTTTTCTATTTTTTCTTTTTTTTCTTTTCTTTTTTTAGTAACTCCCCTCAATCTTGCTTAAGGCAAACCTAACTAGCGTAGCACGGGCGGAAGTGGATTAGGCAATACTCTGAAATAACCCTGATCTTTTTCCATTTTTTACTAATCCCTTTCTGTTCAGGTTGTGGAGCGCCTGTTGGCTCTGCCGGTGGATTTCTGGGCCCAGTTTGTGATGGCAGCAGAACACGAGCAGCCGAACTTGGAGCATTTGATCATTGAAAATGCAAACTGCTACGCCACCCCTGAGAGAGCTGGAGGTTTGTTAAAACTTTTTGTTATTGCCGTATGAGTGTGGGCGCAGTCGTTTCAACAGCCTGACATTTCATGGGAGGCTGAGATTGTAAATGTTAACTGTTTGTGATATTTCAGTGAGCATACTGGGACCTCTGACCACTCCGGAGTACCAGCTCAATAAAACCCCCTCCTCCAGCTCTCTGTCTCAGCGCATGAAGTCCTCTCTGACACCCAGGTAATCACATGAGCACAGTCCTCCCGGCCCTGCTGGCATTATAATCAATGATCTCATGATTAATTGAGAAGATAAAGCTACAAAGTGTTTTCTCTCCTAATTTACATAAATGCTGACTTCTTCTGACTTTCATATAACTTAATCTACTGTGTAATATCTCATTATCATTCATCAGCTCTGTTTTATTGACTATAGCTCCTAATTAATAATTCCATCATGTTTTTTTAAAAAAAATTTTTTATGTATGCTGTTTGTTGCAGATTTGGGTCAAAGAGCAAATCGGCAGTGGGATTTTCTCGCCAAGGAAAGTTCTTTTCTTCTCCGCTCCTCAAATAATATCAAAGCAGCTGCATTTAATCCTTTATTCTTACTGCAATAACAGCGACTAGTTTGTTTTATGAATAACATTTAATTGCATCTATAAACACCTCCAATGTAGTCTTCCTCTGCATTCTTAAAAATTCTGTTTCTGAATGTTAGTTTTTATTGTTTTGTTTTTTTTGTTTTGTTTTTAACATTTGTAAAATGGGATTTTTTTTTTTTTAAAACAACTAGTTTTTTCTGTCTGTGCACACTTGTGTCTTTAGGACTGTTGCTCCTAATAAATGTCCAGTGTGGCATTCTCATTTCAGATGACAACACACGAAAATGCACTGTCTATTCACTCTTAGATAAGTGTGCTCATAGATGAAAATATGTACTGTATATGAACAGTTTTATTGTGACCCGCTTCTAAATGTAATTGTTTCCCTTTAATAGTTTTTCAGCTCATGTGTCACTCAGAAGTTGAGAAACTTATTTTTTTTATTATTATTTTTTTGGTATTTCATTCTAGGTTGTAGTTGATTGTGTGGCTGATGTTTGTATTTCATTTGTTTTTATTTTAATTTGAATTGTCCCACAGTATTTTGTTTAGTGAATATAATTTAGAAGTGTGCATACCTTTTTCCTTCTTGTTTAATAACAAACTGTAGTAATAAGAACTCAACTTTCAACCAGATCTACTTGGTCATCGTCTACAAGCTTCACTAGGTGTGGATCGTTTTAGTAAATGTCAATGATCTCATTGGCTATTAGCCTGTTGAATTACTGGGGCATTATTTGATAAACTATAATCACGCAGTTTGAACAAAAATACACTATCTGAATTTCATATAAAATACATTTACAAAAATGTCTCCTGTCCTGTGACTGTTTTGTGTAGCTTCTTTACATTTTGAAAATTAATCAGTAAATGAAGGTGCAATCCCATTTAGTCTACTTTAATATCATTATGTGGGATCATCCTGAAGGGAGGGCTAAAGCTGGTTGAGTATGTGATCCATATTCTCGAAAGCCACTGGAGAGGCTTGTGCTCACATCGTTAGGATGATTAGGTGTACTAAGAGCCAATTTATTTATTTTTTAAATTTTGTATTGGTGGCACGGTGGTTAGCACTGTTGCCTCACAGCAAGAAGGTCCTGAGTTCAATTCCACCGTCAGGCCGGGGTCTTTCTGTGTGGAGTTTGCATGTTCTCCCCGTGTTTGCGTGGGTTCTCTCCGGGTACTCCGGCTTCCTCCCACCGTCCAAAGACATGCAGCTTGTGGGGATAGGTTAATTGGATAATCCAAATTGCCACTAGGTGTGAATGTGAGTGTGAATGTGGGTGTGAATGGTTGTCTGTCCCTGTGTGTTAGCCCTGCGACAGACTGGCGACCTGTCCAGGGTGTACCCTGCCTCTCGCCCTATGACAGCTGGGATAGGCTCCAGCGCCCCCCGCGACCCTGAAAAGGATAAGCGGAAGTGAATGGATGGATGGATGGAATTTTGTATTGTTGCAACCAATAATATTGCTAATGTGAGGACTCCATATTTGGATTTTAAGTCTTAAGAGAAACATCGGGAAACCTCAAGAAAAATTCTAACTCCTGTAACTGATACCACCTCCTGGTATTTCCACTTTGATGCCCATTATCATGTTTCACTCTTAATGCCAATAACGCCTGAATAGCTCAAAATTATTACCAGCACTCAAAGTAGAAACATTGAATGTAAAAACAGAGGTGACTTTATACTCAACAAAAATGTATATATTCAGATATTGATCAAAGCCCCAACAAAATATTTAATGTGACTTTTATGTAAATGGTGTATGTGAAAAATTTACATTTAAAAATTGCAGACACCAAAAGTAAATTACAAAAAACCTCACTCATTTTCAGTGATTTGAACATGCGTAGCTTCTTTGTGAGAGGTAACTCTTGTTCAGTGTTCAAACATTATAAAAGTGACATCAAAATTTAGGGAGTGGCCACAGAAGGGGGGTATTTTTCACATAGTTCTGGAAGGCGGGGTCAGATCCCCACTTCCTCATGGCCTGCTTCTCTAAGATGGGGATACCGCTAACGTAACGTAGCAGGAACCAGACGAATAGAGGGGAGACCACACTGAGATACTGGGAACCCTGCATCGCTGAGGAGGCTGAGAGCCAGAGACCTGACCACTGCAGGATTTCTCCAAAGTAGTTAGGATGTCTACTGTAAGCCCAGAGTCCACTCTGGATGAACTTCCCCTGGAGGTGAGAAAGTAAATTGGACAGTACAGTTACAACACTCTGTGAGTGAGACATTAATACAGTTTAGGGTTATCCTCACTTACAGCATTATCTGGGTCACGCTTGAAAACCCATTTCTGCTGGTCAGCAATAGCTTCTGTAGCAAAGCCAAGGCCCCAAATGGTCCAGCCAATGTAGTCCCTCGTTCCCAGAGGCACATTTCGCTTCTCACTGTTCAGCATGAGGGTGGGCAGGAGGGTCATAAATACCCACACAGCTGAAAGAATGGAGCAAAAAATGTATGATTTTCAAACAGCATAACCTTAATACTTCCATGAAATAAATGTGACTGTAACCAACAGCTCTTGCCTAGAATAAATACATATAAAGAGCCAGAAACTAGACAGTGATTTATTTGTGCAAAGTCTCCCTTCACTTGGGTGCAGTTGGTCAAGGACTCTGGTAACAAGAAAGAGGTGTTTACATTACTTCCAAGTACCTTGAACAGTCCAATACACAAAGAATGTCCCAGGGCTGTCTCTAACATTGTTAAACCTGCGATCATGACCGTCCTTCAAGATTCGCATGAAGAGGAATGTCCCCAGCCTGCAGAAAAAACATACTTAAAGTCTTTTCACATTAACCAAGCCATTATTCATTAACTTGAGTTACCTGGCTTTAAAGTCTCACATGCATTAGTTCCTCTGACCTCACCAATGACCCTCTAGGACTAAAATTACACAAAACTCTGATAAAAAAAACATATAACCTGCTCATATCTCTGTTTAGTTTTCTAGCGTAGCAGAGCGGTCAAGAGGTGTTTGGCACTTGGCATCAATACTGACTGCCTTACCTGAGTCCCCATGCTGTTACCAACCCTGTCTGCACCTTCTGCCGGGTATGACTGGCCCCTCCCCAGATACGACTCAGGTGTGCAAGTAGTATAAATGTGCCAGAGCCTGGAAAATTGTAGAGAGAGACAGAGTTGTAGAGTGAGGGTGGTTTGAAAGTGGGCACGGCTGGTGGCTGTACTTGTTGCAGACTAAGGTGTGTCCGATAAATCTTTTACTCAGGATACTGCAGACAATTGGTTCCAAAGTTCAAGGGTACAAATACACAAGAGAACAGCGCGGAGTTGGAAAACCAGAAGAAGACGAGTAAAAGAGAAGTGTCAAGGTGATTAATTTGGGATTTCTTTTTTTCTAATTAAGTCACTGGCGTGAACAGGTAAGCAACGTCAGTCTATATCTGACAAATGTTTGAGAACTAACTTTAGGCAGACTATGTTCATTTCTATACTTCCTTATTGATTGTGAGCTTACGTTTTTTTTTAATAGATAGATATCACAGGCAGATTCAAAGTCACACCAGGCTGCAACTAACATTTATTTTTTAATAATTTGTACATCTTAGTTATTTTCTCAGGTAGAAAGTTTGTAATGTGTGTTATTGATAATAATATGGGCTACATGATGCTGTATTAACCTGCACAAAATCCAATAACATTCAGTTCTTTCTGTAAACTAGCTTACTGACTCATTGGGTAATTCTGTCAGCTGTGCAGTAACAAAATGCAAAAATGATTAAATATGACACTAATATCCCCCTACAGCCATATGAAATGCTGTTAAGCTTTCTCTCTGTCTCTCTCTCTTTTAACCACTGCATGATTAAAACTAATTACAAATTGTTTAATGGGGGCCCTTAAAAAGCGCCCTTTTTGATTCAACCCAGGATAGCTGTGCACGCCCCTGCTGACACATGCGCCTGTTAAGCCGAAGGAGGAGCTCCTTCCGCGCTGTTTCACAACAAAGCTGTTTTATATAATGCAGGTTTTGTAATGATCAGTCTTCTTTAAGTGCAAAACACGCTTTTACAGATTAAATCAGTCTACACGGATCAGACATATCGACTGTTCCCCCTTTAGATGTATTTCGCTTTCAGTCGAGTTCGAGCACTTTTTAGTTGCAGTTCTTCACTGACAGACAAGCAAAGCTGCAAAAGCAGTCAGTACAGGGTCGTAAATTACTGTTTAGGAAGCGGGTTTTCAGATTACCTGCCAAGTCATAAAACTTCTCGGTTTTGAAAGCCGCAGCCAGAGCCCAGCCAGCCCACTGGATGCCCAGGTCGGTGATGGCACATTTGGCCAGAACACTCCCCATGATCATGTCCTGCAGCTCGGCGAGTAGCAAGGGAATCCGCGACTCTGTCATAAGACCACTCCTCCTACGCCAAAAGTAATAAAAACACTCCGTGTAGGCGAAAGTTCACCAATATCACACTGCTGGAAGTGGGTTGCCGCAGGGATTTCTGGGTATTGTCGTTCTAAGAGGTGATGTAAGCAAGTTCCATAAGCTGCTGCCCTTTATGGAAGACTCCGAGTGCCAAACAAGTTAAGTCAATGCATTAATAAATAATTAATTACATTTGACATAATAAATTAGTTATATACAATGTTAACTAGATATCAATTTAATTTATTTAAATCATTTCACAAGTTATTTATTTATTTCTGATTTCAATTAATAATGACGCAGTTAGTATGAATTAAATGCATTTATTTAATTCATTTTGTCACTTGAGGCCTTCTATAATCCCCCAGTGGAATCAGGGGCGTTTCCAGGATTTTTTCAAAAGGCCCAGAAAAGTCAAGAGTCCTCAGAGAGCACAACTTCCCCCGAAGGGTAACACTAAACACTAAAATGTTGAGTTTTACAATACGATGATGTCAACTTGTGACGACGCAGGGTGTCAGACTGGAAAAATGCGAAGTGCATTTTATTCTCTCCATGCCCTTTCATATTCAATACATTTCCTTGAAATTATTTTTCAAGGTCAACTTTGACCTTAAGTGCTAACAATGAAGGTGAAGGTAAAATACTAACCCTAGGTACTCATATCACCAAGGCCTAGTATATTGTTGTGAAGTTTGAAGATATTTTAAAAGTTTTTACTCATTTTCACGTTGCTTGTGACCTTGACACAATTTTCACCAACATTAAATCAGCTTGAGCTGTTATTGGTATTTACTGTCACAAAGAATTTAAACATTATATCTTGGAAACCGTGATACATTAATGTGTATGTGACTTAAATGCCGCTAATCTGGAGATTATTTTAATGACTTGTTGCTCTGTCTGCTGACACACAGACTCAGCTTTGTATTGGCCACTATTGTTTATTTGCAAAAACTGTTCGCACTTTAGCACTGTGGGTTTTTTTTCCAGTCGTGCACATTGTGACAACCCTGCACTGCCATGTGCAGGGTTAGATTTCTCAGTTGGTTTCCAGCTATTGTCTGTGCTTCCATCCTGCGTTGGTGCCAGCGTGCTGCTGCATAAGTAGAAAAGACTTATTAGTCCATGTGCAACAGCTGTCCCAGTCAGCCTCTCCTCTGCAGTGAACCTTGAACTTCCTGCTTCATCTCTCCCCCACAGCTGAGCCAAAACCAGAACCACACCCTGCCGCCACACATATATACAGTAGCTTTATTTATATGTGGCTCCTGCCAATGCAGCAAGGGTCCTGCAATTTAGTTTTAGGCACATGGTCAATGATCTGTTAAAACAAAAAATTGCAGAGGCACATCAGACTTGTACATAAGGCCATAAAAAGGAAGAATACATACAGTAATTTTAAAGAGTAATCTGCCAAGTGCCAAATAACAGTACTTCAGCTGTTTTGTGATTAAAAAAAAAAAGAAGACAACGCATGAATGTTTAACTAATTGTCCCACACAATATAAAACATTGTGTCTTTGTTCCACATTTAGTCTGTTGATTTCTTGTTACTAATGCAAGTGTCATCAGTGTGTGTTGCCTACAAATACGGCTAGGAATTAAATGTATCCTGTATCATTCTATTAACTGTAGTTATGCACATTTTAAACCTGATTTTACCTATTTTATTCTCTTATATTAATACTATATTGGTGTGCATTAATTTCCCAACCTGTGATTTCCATCTTGTGTGTTTCCATCACTTGTAATCACTTGAATTGCATTTAATTTGTATGGAAGGTGCAACAAATTGAAATTAATACTGTGATATAACAGCCACAAAGGTAACAATGCTTTCAGGCAAAATATATTTGAACCAGACATTCTGCAGAAGTACACCTAGTAATTGTGATGTTGCAGGAAAGTGTTGTGATATTTTTTCTCTTTTTCCTCTTAGGAATAAACACAGACAAGACAAAATATGGCAGACAAGACAAGTCCGAGAGGCAATTCTGGTGACTTTGCTAAAAAAGTCCAAAGACAGCTGAGCAGAGGCAAAGAAAAGGTACATAGTCTGCAAGTTCCTGTTTCCCCTATGGCAAGAAAGACAAATTTATTGCCATTTAATTGCTGTTACTTTGAGATTTAGCTTTTTTCTGTGCTTTATCTGCAGGTAATGCAAAGGCTGGGAAAGTCAATGGAGACCAGAGATGACCTTTTTGAACATTGTCTCCAAAACTTTAGTGACCAGCAGGTAATCATCCCCCAGCATTGTTTTTATTATGGGAGTTGAAAAAGACTTTGAGCAGAAAGTTTTTCATATGTGTCTTAACACATTTTGCAGTATATGCAAACACAGGGTTATTGAGTAAAAGCAGTGAATCAAACATCATAAAAGTTAATAAAGGTAAGCAAGATAATCACGTGTATACTTATGCTTTATTTGCAGACTGATGGGAACCGAATATACAAGGACTTGAGGGTCTACGTTAATGCAGTTAGAGGTGAAAATAGTCTTTGTTTGAAGATGCTGTAGAACTGTAGATTTGTGCCCTCTGCAGGTCTCAAATAGTCGATTCTGCTTTATACAGACATGCGTGAAGCTTCAAGACGCCTTTCCCAGTCTCTGTTTGATGTTTATGAATCTGACTGGGCTGGAGAGGAAGATTTAGGAGCCATTGTTGAGGTCAGTGGTACTAAAAAAAAGACCTATTGCAGCACATTTTAATTCCACAAGTGCAAAAACAGCGAAATGCATGCATCACCAGGGGAACAAGACCCCACATTTTTTCCCCTTGTTATGCATAATTAATGCAATATTTATGCTGTACTTGTGATGCAGGGGGAGGACCTCCTGTGGAATGACTACGAGGTGAAGCTATTAGACCAGGCCGTGCGCACCATGGAGTCCTACGTGAGCCAATTCCCTGATGTTAGGGTAAGGCAAACAAGTATGCAAGCAAACATAAGTCAATATGCAGACAGACAAAGAGCCTGAGAGCAAATGCACAAAACTAAGTTAAGACAAACATGTAGTATAATTCACTTACATATACATAGACAATATGTATGACTCTGTTTTGCTCCATTGTAAAAACTGTAGGACAAAATTGCCAAGAGGGGAAGAAAGCTGGTTGACTACGACTCCTCCCTTCACCAGCTAGAGGCACTGCAGACTGCGAAAAAGAGGGATGATGTCAAGATAAGCAAGGTAATTAGAATAACATCAATATCTCTTTGTAATCAACCTTAATTTGTTATAACACATGCATTGAAATTGACTTGCTTTGTCATTCTGCAGGCAAAAGAAGAGATGAATACTGCCAAAGTTATCTATGAGGGGATCAATAACGATCTGAAAGAGGAGCTCCCAGTTCTCTTTGACAGGTCTGACAGTATATATTTATTCTGTCAGAATGAATATGAAGATTATTCAGTATTGCATATTATTCAAATATTCACTGAATTTGCAACAATTTATCTTTTTTTAAACATTACTTGTCAATGTTTGTCTCCTTTAGTCGTATTGGATGCTACGTAGCTGTCTTCTCAGCTGTGTCAAATTTACGAGACATCTTCCACAAGGAAATGAGTACAGTATGTTTGCTCCCTTATGTGTGACCCAATATTGATTGTCCTGAGTTTTTTGTTTTAACCATCCATCTTCTATTTTAGCTCAATCAAGATCTACAAAATGTGATAAAGGAGCTGCAGGCTCAGCATCCAGACAAAGCATTTGCTGTAAAGGGATTGTCCCGGTGAGAGTTTTTTAATTCTTAACTTTAAAGCTTGAAGGCAATTTCCAAATGAAAAACATTTTTAATTTCTCATTACAGTTTCAGAAAAATATGGAAATTACCCGCCATAGTCACATCTTCTCCTAGAGTAATAATACAAGCAGCATTTTCTTTTAATTATTACTTTTGCAGATTCAGAAAGCATTTAATTGTGCTTTATGGCTAAATGCACTGTTGTTATAAAGCTTCATTCATTTATTCATTTGTTCCACCATATTCTGGCAATACTCCACAGTACTGAACTGCATTCTTATCTCCATGATTTGATCTTTCTCTATCTCACTCCCTCTCTCTCACTATATATTCCAGGTATGGCTCACTGAAAAGACGAAGTCTGATCTCTCCAAAGGCTTGGAAGGCCAGCTTTTCTGAGGTTCACAGGAGCTTCAGTCCTAGAACGAGCCAGCGGTTTAGTTTCAGATCCCCGGAAAAACCTCGACACAGCACCTTGTCCAGAGAAGGCAGCATGCTTAGAGGGTCTTTAGTCGAGTCCAGGGAACTGGATGTAGGGTCGTACCAAAGTGAGGTCCACAGCCCTTCTGCACAGGAAGATGCTGTAGAGAGTGCATCAGGAAGTGAGCTGAAGTCGGGAGACAACAACAATCAAGTTGAAGGAGAAAAGGCTGTGAAAGAAGAAGAGCCCAAGCCGCCCGTAGAATCGGAAAATAAAGGAGATGGAAAAAAAGATCTACCAAGTGCAAGCAGCTCTGAACAAAATAACTCCTATGAATCAGATAGCTTGGAGCTCCAGCTGTCTGCAGCAGACAATGGCCCACTGCACATTGAAGAGATGGACGACAGCCCGGTAACCCTTGAAACTCCAAAACTGAACAGACTGGAGAATGGTGACGCTTCTGGCTTGAATTCTGACGCCAAGGATCTGAGCATTCCTCAGAAGGTTTGTCACTCGAGTAGCACACATGTTGTGCAGCTGTCCTTTTTTTATGCATATTGTGTCATAACTCTCTTTTTTTTTGGGTGTGCTATGTAGGACGTCCCTGCAGAGAAAGAGATATCCTCGAACTCAAAAAACACAATGGTTTAAAGTTTTCATAATAAAACAAAAGGTTTGTGTGTTTCATTTTGTTCTACAAGATGCCATATTATTATTTCTCTTCTTTCTTTGTCTGCGTTTCTTCATTTGGCTCACTTTATCATCAACCTTTGAACGCCAGAACCAAACAGCGCCGAACTGACTGAAGTCAACAGCTGCAGAAGAAAGAAAAAAAGACAGGGCGACAGTTGCAACTGACAAGTTCAACTGTGATTTCACAACTGACGAACTGTTGCTGTTAGTTTTCTTATTTATCTTTTAAGGAAATCAACTTTACATATGTATTGGTGTCTTTGGGAAAACCTATATTTTCATAAACTCACTCACTGCATTATTAAAGCAAATACATTTTAAAATGAGGGATTTATACAACTAATGCTAGCAAAGACAGAAGCTCTACATAGGTTTACACTGCTAAAAAGATACTGACCACAGAATGGTTAATCTACACAGATATGATATGTTTCTGTCTCTGTGTAAACGTGAAGAGAATGCCATTCCACTCTTATTGTGGAACCAACAAGGAGGCGTTTTAATCATTTTAGCCTTTTAGTCTGTTTTATTATTTCTTTTTATTTGTTTTTGATTAGATTTTATTAATTATGCCTGCAGTGTGAGGACAAACTTTGTAATTCTGAAAAATAAACATAGTTCAAATTTTGTTTATACTAAAGCTGAATTTCTGACTTTTTAATTTTTGGGTTATTCGATGTATATGTGCACAGGATATAAGAACATTGTGTAAACGGCAATAAAAACTGGGTAATGTCACCATTTTGTCTCTCTGCTAGTAGATGTTTAAGATGATGGGGTGGAAAATGGTGAGCGCTCACTCAGCCTGGACTTCAGTACTCATCAGATGTATACAACATTGCTTGCTTAATGATTTGACTGTCATGACAAATTATCTGTGAAATAACATAATTGATTAGACAGTATTGGAAAGGTTTGATTATATATACACACGTTTTAGCTTATGTTTCTTTTATTATAACGAAACAACATGAAGGGACAGCTTCCTGAAATTTCTTGTGGTCATCTGAGCCCAATGTGTGTCTCACTTCTTGATGTGGAACGACAAGCAGTTTTGTTTTCAGTTAGACAGCTGCTAACTTACTTACTGGATTTTACTGGTGACCGTTACACATGACAAATGAATGCTTACGTGTAAGAACGCTTACCAAGCGCAACTACATCTACAGAGGTTTTCAATCTGGCTATTTCAGCTTAAGATTGTTCCTGCTGTATGTGCAAACAATGTGAACTTTGTCACATATTTAAATAATCTGTCATGACTCAGCCCCCCATATTTATGCATAATGTAAAATAAAATTGCTTTAAGGAGATACACCTACACCTATGTAATAAAGAACCCCAGACATAACTAGGATTCTTTATTACATAGATTTCTACACTAGGGCCAGCTAACCAGGGCCATCTTTGTCACAAGTAAAATTATGTTCAGGATTAGTAAAATATTTTTAGAGTACATGTTGTCATAAGAATTTTTTTTTTTACTTCACTTAATCGATGTATGTTCTGGCATTCTTTAAGAATTAAAACAATGTTAAATAATACTACTACTAATACTACTACTAATAATAATAATGACCCAAATGTATTTCAACAGGTAATAGTTTATAATACCATTGTAATAATGAAATAGTTAAATTTATTTCAACTATTAGTTATTTTCTGATTGTTGGCTATGTACTAGAACACTGTCTGCAAAGTTAAAACACTTGATAATGTCATAGTGTGTCATTTATAAAGTCTTTGTAAATGATTAATACATACCATAAACATAAAGAGCCATAAACATTACAGGCGTGGCTAGCTATTAAGTTGAAAGTAATGCTCATAAATCTTGTTTGCAAGGAGTGTGAAGTAGGCCGGTGGGGAGGCGACTGAAGCTGCAAATCAAACACGTAAACCTGGAGAGCTGGTTTGTGTCCTTTCCTACTCACTGTTGACTCTGTTTTCACTTACTCTTTAGTTGGGTTAGCAAAGGATTGTGGTTTACGTTCAAATACCACGAGTTAACGCGTACACTAAACCAAATATCTTGTCATCTGTGACACCATACACAAAACTATGCTGTATATAATTCATAACTAATGACATATGTAACCCATTGCATAAGTAATTATTATTAAACCATAGTAATTAGTCATCATTATCATCGGTTTACCCTTATTAAAGGGGTTCGTGGTGGAAGTGATACATCTTGATGAGAGACGATCTTTGACATGGAGGCAAGGGAGGGGAGGCGGAAACTGAGCGCGTGTGCTTTATGACTCACGAGTGCTGGAAGGAAAACTGTGACTAGTTAACTGTATTCAACAGACGCAGATTCAGACCCCTTACCAGAGCCGCACGCCGGTTAGATTACCAGACTTAAAAAAGGCAGTGGGCGTTAGTTTTCTCCACCATAAAAGCTCTCCCAGGAGGGGGGGGAAACTCAGTGAATTTGTCCGGTTTTGTGACGCGCTCCTCCGCTGCGCTGCGCCCAGACAGGTAAGCTCACTCAACAGCTGCGATGAACAATGCCTGATTGATCAGCTCGAGTTTGAGAAGTGTAAAAACTTCTTCTGGAAGTGTGTGTTACTCACTCGTCGGTTTTTGCCCCGGGCTTTAGGTGGATTTGTACCAAACAAGTACATTTTCAGTTGAGGGCTCCTTAAAAAACAGTCAGATGGTTGACTGTGATAAAAAAAGACAGCTGGGCTGCGAAACGCGTTGGTAACAAAGCCGAGGAACGAGGTGTTGACCGGTTTGAGAAAACATGTGTGACAGATTCACATCAACATGTTGGAAAAGCTCTGAGCGGAAATCACCATGAGCTCGTTGTCTGTTTTTACAGTTTGTGTTTTTCTTTCAGGTATAACCGGTGAGAACAATAACCAACCATGAATCGTAAGCTCTATCTTTTTTTTCTTTTCTTTTTGTACTATATAGCCTTTTATTGTTTTCTTCCTGTTTTGTTACAGGTGTCATCTGACAGTTTGATATATTGTTGCGTTTTGGAGAAGTAAAGTTTCAATCTACTTTTACTCGAGTAGTTCTTGTTGGCTAACATTTCAACTTAACCATCGTAGAGCTTCCACTCTGGTCGATTAACCGATCACTTCAGTGAAAGTTAGTTGGCAGCTATTATGTAAATACAAGATTGCTTTCCTTTTCCTGGTCTTATATTACACTATATTGTAAATTCTTTGTGTTCAGTTTTGACTTGTTGAATGAAACAAACCATGTGTAATGGGAATTTAAAAAGTCTTCTTTAAATGTGAAAATATTATTGAAATAACTATATAGTAAAGCTGCATTTAATAGTTTCTTTGTATTTTCTTTTTTACAAGATATAAAAATCCATATATGTCTTTTTTATGTTTTTATTACTGACCATTCTCACAAGTACTATAAACTTTTATTGATTAAAGCTGCCTATAAGTCTGTAATAACATAGAACCCAAAATGACATCTTTATTTGTCTTGCTTTAACCACAAAATTTAAATTTGCTGCAATGCAAAGCTCGGAAAGAAAAAAAAAAAGGGGCCCAAAGCGATGGCGCTTTTGCTGTTTCTGTTAAATCTGTGATTATTGCAGCTCTGAGTTTTTATATTACAGTTACTAGTAACGTGTTTCTCTTTTCCGTGCTCTGACTAATACCATTGCATCACAGCTATTCAGAAAAATAGGAGTTGGACAGGTTTGTTTCAGTCCCAGCCCTTAATAATAATCAGATTACTGTGTCTCAACAGTGAATATTCCCTCCTCAGCCAGCAGCTGTGGTGTTACACAAGCCACTCTCAGTAGACTGGGAGCTGAAGATAGAGCGCTGTGACATTTTTAACATGCTTTTTTTATCTTCCAGATACAGATAGCGAGAATTTGACAACAGCCTTTACCACCACATATAAAAGCAATAAAGTGTGTAAGTACATTTGTCTTTCACTATGATTGTTTTTACTTTGCTTAGACACAACCACCAAATGTTCTGATATTGTGACCTTTAGTTATAGTTTTTCTTATTTTAATAAATAATGTTTATATTTTTTTTTCTTCCCCCATTTATTTTCAGCCCCAGATGTGGCACTTGTTGAATCACTTCCCACACAAACAGAATCCACTACCATTCAGGGTATGCTCGAAAGCTTTTTGTTTTATGTTTTCCTTTACTGGTTGTCTCTTTCTGAACCCACAGCATTACAAATGACAACATTTACTCAAAGTAGAAGTATATCCTGGTGATGCACGTCTACTTAGCTCTTGTTGTGTGACTTTTTTCTTCAACGAAATACTTCAAAATCAAGAATCGAACTGTTCAGTAGTACAAATCATTTTGAAAGTGCCCTAGGTTCCTTGTCTGCTAATTTGATGCCTTCAGCGTGAAATTATTGCAGTTTGAATCCCTCCCAACCTTTAAACAACACATAAAAAAAGCTGTCCAATTCTGCTTCTTTCAAATAAAAATCCACTCTCTCAAAACCGAAGGGGAAAAAAAAATCTCCTGGGCTCTCTGTATACTTTAGAATTGGTTTTAGGATTTTACTGATCCTTTTTAACATATGTCTGTTATTGGTCCCAAAATGCATAGAAGATTTTACTCTGCATTAGCCAGTTCTGGACCTTAGGTCCTCCAATATGGCTTTACTGGCTGTTCCAAAATTGATGAAGACAATGCAGCTTAATGAACTGCTCATCAGCAAGTCTAGACACGTATATAAACACGTATGCTTTGGTAGCTTGCTGTCTGGAGCATTCAGGTGTGTGTGCAAGTGTGTGGGGAGAGCTGCCAATCTTCTCAGGAGTTGACATCCCACCAAATTCACCGTCATACTGTGCAATGATTAGAAAACCTACAGAAAACAAACCAGATTCTACAAGCTCCAGTTAGCACCCTAAAGTTAATGAAAGTACAATTAGAAAAAGACTGAACAAGTATGACTTCTTTGAAAGTTTTGCCAGGAGAAAGCCTTTTTTCTCTAAACAAACATGGCAGCAAAGCTTAGGTTTGCAAAGTTCTCAACAAACCCCATATCATTTTGAAATGGTGTCCTTCTAGATAGACAAGACCACGCTGAGTATGTTTGACCATAATGCAGAGCACCGTGTTTGGTGAAAACTAAACACAGTATATCAGCACAAACACCTCATACCAGCTGTAAACCACGGTGGTGGAGGGGGTGATGATTTGGTTTTGTTACACAGCCACAGGATCTGGGCCCATCTGTCCGACAGCTAAAGTTTGGCCAAAAATGGGCCATGCGACAGGACAATAATCCTAAGCACAGGAGCAAATCTACAAAAGAAATAGCTGAAAGAGAAAAGATTCAAGGTGTTGCAGTGGCCCAGTCAAAGTCCAGACCTCGACCCAAATGAAACGCTATGGTGGGACCCTAAGAGACCCCCAACACTGAACTGAAGCAACACTGTGCCAAAAGTGAGATAATGACAGTGAAATAAAAAATAATTGCTTATTGTTGCCAAAGTTTGTTCCACAAACCGATGAATCACGCATGCCATATAATTAGTTCTTCCACATACTGCTTCTGCATTTTGGCTCAGTTTATGCTAAATGCTGACACGGTGTAACATGTCATGTGTTGTTCTTCACAGGTTGTTTTTAAAGATCTTGTAAGGACTACATAGTGTTTCATGTACTGATTCGTAAAACCTTAGAAATGAAAGCAGATGTAACTTATTACATACTTGCTTATTTTTATTTTTATTTTGATGGTGCTTTAGGGGTCTCTTGACTTCTTAGATCACTTCTGAAAATACATTTTTGTAGACTTTGTGTGGCAGCTTTTTATAACACTTCTTTAAGCATTTGTTTATCCTTTTTTTCAAGTTTTGTGTATTTCTGTTGTACTTTTATTCCTTTAGTAGCATTAATTTGTTGAATTGTATTTATTTTGGTATTTACTATTGTACATTTGATTTTCAGAGTATTTGGTAAACTCTTTTTAAATGTTCTATTTTCTTTCCCCCAGTGTTAACAACAGTTGCTCCCACAAGTTCAGACTCTGCAGTTATTGCAGGTAACTGTTTGCACTTTATCTTGAGATTTATTTCTTCTTCTTCTTTTTTTTTTTGCTGCAGTTCAAAGTGTCTTCTAAACCTGCCTTTCCCCCCCACAGTTGTTGTTATTCTCATTCTGCTGACACTAGCTGCTTTGAGCTTTGTGCTCTGCCGGTATCTGTACCACAACAGAGGGGACTACAGGACGACAGGGGAGCTGGCTCCAGGAGAGGACCCTGATGAAGAGGACAATAACAAGCCTGCACCCGAAAAGAAGGAATACTTTATATGAACCTGGTGGAAGACTTATAGCGAGTTAGTTGAGCTTAAGAAAATGATCTGTGGAAGTGTGATAAGAAGGAAAACTATTTCCTTGCGTGTGTGTTTTGAGGGAAACCCGTTACTGGCAGCACACTGTGCAGAGAAAAAAAAAACCTTGTTGAAGATATTTTTCTTTAAAAATGCAAGTGAAACCAAAGAAAAGAGTACCACTGTGAGGGTGAATGTTGATTGGCTGAAGGAGGTGAAAGCTGAAGTTGTGCACAGGTTAGCAGAGCTAAGCACAACATAGTTACATGATCAGTAAATGCAAAACAGTCAAATCAAAGGAGCGCCTTGAATGTAATATTTATCATCCACATTTAAATTTCTCTTTATTTGCCATTTCAGTTAGTTACCGTACTTTTCTCAAACTATGTTTAAGATGATTTCTGGTGCTATTATGGGCTGTTACTTTCATATTCATTTGCTTTTAAGAAATACTTTTTTATGCAATTCTTTTATTATAAGCTGGTCAAAGAAAGTGGTTATCTTTCAATAGAACAGGACAGCTACACAATATTTCTTGTTCTTGGTTGTGTTTTGTATACCTGAAATGGTTGCTGGTTACTTCCTTATTTATGATAAATGTGGAAGTCAATTAAACTTGTTTTTGGACGAGTTTTATTACCGTGTGACAGTGTGTGAATGTTTTAATGCATTGCTGCCCCCAGTCTGACATTGCAGACAATGCACTAGCACACTGCACATTAGACTGAATAGGTACACTTGGCTACATCCAATGTAATGTAAAACCTGCTCAAACCAATATGTTGTTATGCTGTTTAGTCAGGAAAGAAATTCCTTAATTTACAAGCCATCTATGTCCACTGTGAGCGACCATCTTTGAACAGAGAGGGTGGTTTACGACACTGTCTGCCACCTGTAATCCAGTTTTAACATCCCTTCCCAGACGCCTTAACGCCCACTCACATCCTGGGCCTTTTGACCTCAGGAAATCACATGATAGGGTGGGGCTAGGTTTCACAGCGGGTTCACCCGAAACCTTACCTTGGCTGATTGTGACCTACACCCGTTTTCACATCTTGCATCGTTTGATTAGGAAGAGGATCAACAGGGCTCCATGTCCCTGTTGGGGGAACACTCCCATAGGGCTTAAATCTGGGACTCGCCACCATTTGACCCTAGAATTGAAGAAGCTTCTTGGATGAGAGGTGAAACGTTTTCAAGCAACTTAAAGAAGTCCAGACACTTTTCTTCCTAAGCTTCTTAGCCGACGATGACCTGGATGACTTTAGAACCTTCACAGACGTATTTCTTAATTTACAATAACCAGAATCGCAATATTTTCCATTCTTATAGGACAGTACAGAAATAATTGGCCTGATGTTGTAATGCATCATAAATGTGTAAGAACAATGAACTGAAAGCAGTGGATTTGCTTCATTTTGGTTTGGGAGTTTAAGTATTCTGGGATCTTGTTAGTGTGTAATGTAAAATGGAGCATGAGATGGACAGGTGGATCAGTGCAGCATCAGCAGTAATGCAGGTAGTACGCCATACCATTATGGTGAGGACAGCTGAGCCTATGGCCATTAGCTCTGGGTATCAAAAGAAGGAATGAGGTTGTGGACACATGGCTGAATCAAATATCCTATGCAGGGTGCCTGGTCCTGGACATAAGATCAGAAGCTCAGACATCCAAACTTATACTAGAGGAGCGAGTTGATCGCAACACCTAATTGGATGCTTCCTGGGCACCTTGCTTTGGAGGATTTCCTGGTACGTCCAGCTGGTAGGAGACCCATAATACACTAGAGAGAAAATACATCTCACCTGATCTGGGAACGTGTTAGGATCTCTGAAGATGAAGTGAAAAATGTTGCGGGGAGAAGAACATCTGGAATACTCTGGTTAGCCTGCTTCGATTCAGAAAATGGAGTGACTGATGCACAAAAGGAAGACTTCGCTATGTTTCAAATTTCCAAAATAACCTTTATTCTAAACTTACATTTTAAATTTTAAGTTTAGTATAAAAAAGTTAAGTGCACCTAAGTTCTTTTTTCAAAGTATTCCATCTTTGACATGTCTCAGCAAACTGTAGTGACACTCATCTCCTTTAGTAATCTTAAAAGATAGAATGTGTACCAAAGTCCATCACATCACTTTAGTACATACATCTATTTTAGAAAATATTGTAAAGAGAATCCCTGAACTATAAATGTCCATAATCCTTCAACAAAGAGTGCTCCTTTTGCTGGCTGTGGTTGGCATAGCATCTACTGGTCAGCTGTAAATTACAGTACTTCATATTGCTGGGACAAAGCCACTGTTATGCTGCTTTACAAACAATCAGAGCATAGATGGGAAAAAAAGATAACGTTTGTACAGTTTCTAAGTTTTGATAGCTGTGGCCTCCTTTTCCAATGAAGCTGTATGAAATGACAGCATGAGCGGGTAAATAAATGGACATGGAGATGACTGTCACATCTGGTGCTGCAGCTTTATGTATGAGCTGCGGAGGAGAGGTTTATTAGAAGAGTGATGCAGGTTTCCAGACAGATGATTCTTCTGACTTAAATAACACTTGAAAACACTAAATGTTGGTTGACAAGAAAACAGGTTTTGTTTTCTGGCGGCCACAGCTGTTAAAACTTGATATGCTATGTCGGATACCCAGTGACACATTGACGCTTGACACAAATGAACAAGTCTACAAATATTAGCTGATGGTATCCATACAGGCAACTTGCCTATGTTTAGCAGTCTTCTTTCAGTTTGCCAGATTATGTAAGATGTAACGACCCTAAGGAAACGAGTTTAAACAGCATTAAATTTTTTTCTTTTTAAAAATCCTGGAAATTAAACATTATGCCGACAGTCATTTAGCCTCTTTGCAAAAGGTTTGCATACACGTGCAGGCAACTGAACAATGTGACATGTCAAAAGTTTCAAAATTGTTTAGACTGGATGAATTTTAAAATGTGAAAAGTGCTAAAAAACAAAAACAAAAACCCAACCACACAAAAAAATAAAATAAAAACCCCCAAAACATCACAGCTTTCTTAAAAGCATGAAAACTGATTAAAAAAAAAAAAAAAAAAAAAAAAAAAGCCCCTTGTCTGCAACTCCTCCGTTTTGCTTAGCAGTGCATTTCAGATAAAAAGTATTTTAATCTAACTTGTACATAGCAAAGGTGCAAAAGTATGCAGCAACTCAAAGATGCAGTTTACCCACATTAACTAACAATTGCAGTCACATCAGACCAAAGGTTCCAATGGCCAACAGTGTCACAAATTCTTGTCCAAGGAAAAGTTTGCTTTTAAATTGTAACATTTCAAATATGACGTCATAACCAAACATAAGTGCATTGTAGACCAGATCTTTGGTACAACCAGCTCATTGGTTATACTAACAAATTTATTAGCCTAACTACTTGCGTAAGTCACTTAAATGTGGAAAAGTAAAGAAACACTGAAATATAAGTCTCAGTAACTTTGCTGAAAATGTTACCTAGAAATGAACGCTATCACAAAAGGTGACATTTTTCTGTGGAGAATAAATACTTGATGATCTAAGATATACTGCGTGAAAAGGAAATAATGAAAAGTAGTTTAAATCTGTACAATAAAACATTTAGTGTATAAACTCTGGGTATCCGACTGTGAAATAGAAACAGGAGACAAAAAAGCTAAAATGTTACACCAACCACCCCTTCCCATCCATCTTTCTATTTGGATTTACTTTAATTTTTCTTTCCTTTAAGTTTACTGAAGTTAATTTGCTTAAATTTAGGGCTATCCCCAGTGCTCTTTGGCACTTGACTATGTTCATCTACAAGTTGCCCAACAAGGTACAGTAAACCACTTTCATATTGCAGTAAATCTTTTGATTTTTTTATTCTTTTTGCTTTAATTTCTTTAATTTACATGTGATTTAAATAGAACAATCTCTCAGAAAGTTCACTGTGCAACAAATTTTCCGTGGTATTTTGGATACTGTGCAAAAGACAAGACATTTCTAGCTAAAAGCATCCAGGATGCTGACTTTTTTTTTTCTTCCTTTTTTTTTTTTTTTTTTTAAATAGTTGAGATGTAATTTCTCATAATCATACTGGTACTTACATGGAACTACTAGACACCTATTAATTGAACTACACTAAAAGTTTCAAAAAAAGACAAGTGGATGTTTTTTTTTCTTTTTTACTGCAACTTTGTAACTGCGTTTCACTTTCACCATAAAGCAGCTAAACTATATTTATGCGGGTCTGATATTTCAATATTTCATTAAAGTATTTTTACAGGAGTACAAGAACATCTCAGTGTAATTTGCGACCATTCAATCAAAGAAGAGAAGATCTTGTTGACAAATAAAGATGCCTGAAAGAGGTCAGATCTGGAATGACCAAAAAGGTTAGACCCAATGAAGAACTATGGAATGGATTCTGTAACATTACAATTTTCACTTGTCCTCTTCAGGCAATGGAGTTTATCATTTCATCTCTAGGTCAGAAGTGGAGTACTGTACCTTTCACAAGGGCTCTAAAATATTACATTCCGTTAGGTGATATCAGTATTGTGGCATGGCCAAGCAGCCTGAAGAGGGAGGCATATGGGATGGGGAAGAACTGGGGCATCATCTGGGATGGGGACATGGTTTAGGCATGAAGGAGCTGCTGTTACCAGATGGTATAACCTCCACTGGATCCACCCAGGAAGAAGTTATTCTTGCGCTGTGTCATTACAACATTGGCACCTTGCATGGCAGCCAGCTGAGCGGCATTAGGGGGGTGTCCAGGAGGTGGGGGCTAGCAAAGGAAAGAAACAAGCACAAACACAGTTAAAGAGTTCCTCATTTTAAAGTGCATCTCATCTAAGGTGGATAGGACTTCTTGGGATGGACACTCACTGGGATGGAAACACTGCTGCCGGCTGTGAAGCGAGCACCAGCATCATAGCCGCTCTCCACCATCACAGTTGAACCATGCGGGTAGACTGCTCCCATTGGATAATAAGCCATGGGGACATTCTGGCCCACTGGCCCAACTGGCATATGTGGCTGCATGGGCATATACACCTGAGCACCAGGATAGGGAGAGGACATCTGAGGCACCTGACCAGGCACCTGAGGTGGAAGCACATATCTGGGCTGGTATATCTGGAGACACAGAGAACAAAACAGATTTTTCTTTTGTTTATAAATGTAAGTGCGAGTTTTAACTCTGCTCATCATTTGACTTAAATACGGATTGGTTACCTCAGAATATGCAGGTGGTGTGTCTGTGTAAGGAGGTGCCTGAGGAGACATTTGCATAGCAGGAGGGTATACAGGTGCAGTGCTCTGCTGAGGGTACACAGCCTGCTGTGGATATGAACCTGCAATAAAAGATTTTACATTAAAGGAAATAATTAAGAAAGAACAAAACTCTTAGGGACCAAACATTCCTCTGTCGTGCCTAGTGGTATTAATACATTTTCTACTGTAATAAAAATGTCATTTTGTTTAAATGTGGACAATAGAGGAATGCAACACATTCAATTTTGCTTATGGGGTCAATGTCCATTGTCCAGTGAACTTGAAGATGGCTCCTGAGAGCCTATTAGTAAGATGTAAATTTCCCCAAATATATTTTTTTCCCCAATAGTTACATATTCATAATCACAGAAAACCACAAAAAACAAAACAAACCCCCAACAAACTGTTTCTTCGGGAGCAGATTATAACAACTCACAGTACACAGGAGAAAAATGAATATATAAAAAAATAAGATTCAGGGTTCCTTGGCTACACAAGTTATGTTAAGTAAAATTTGTTTTATTATTACTATTATAAGAAAAGAAAAAAATAACGCCATTTTAAAAAAAAAGGGGGGGGGGGACACTACAAGTGATCAATTAGTAAATCAATAGGGAATTAATTAATTCTGATATGCAAAATAATATTTAAAAGTAAGAACTGCACTTCTCCAGTTTTAACTTAACAAGTGTGACTGGTGGATATTTTTTTTTCATACTTACTGCTCTTCTTAAACCGAAACTGTAACTAAGGCAATAATAGGCAAATTAAAAATACTTTATGTATGTCTGTTGTGAAACTCTTGGCCAATACAAACGCAGACACGGAAAATAAAAACCTGTCTGACTGGAATTTATTCATTTATTTTGCTTTTATTGTTGTTGTTATTTTTGTAACTTTTCCGGACAAAGAAAAAAAAAAAAGAAATCCTCCTATCCCCCGATGTCGATATCGTTCTCCTCTTAAATTACACAATTACATATTATTTCCTCGATACAGATGGCCGATACATCTTTTTAGTCAACTACAATCATAACCATCAAAAAGCTAAAGAGTTAAAATGTACAGATACGAACGAAACTGGGGACAAAAGAAATGTGTTTAAATAAAATAGTCAAATAATATATGAGGATATAATACGTAAATTGTCAACAAAAGAAAACAAATATTACTAAAATGAGCCTCACGATTATATTTATATGATGGGTCCTACAAAAGAGAAGGAAAGAGTCACGTCAGCTGTGCCTTTAAAATGTGCCTGTCTACAGAGATATTAGCTACCTAGAAAACATGTGACCTGCCCACTAATGGTATACGAATATAGAGAGACAGTAAATGTAAGATTTCACTGTAAACAGCTTCACTACTAACAATATAGCCGCCTTGGTTCAGAGTAGGAGCCACACTGTTACCCAGGAAGCGTCGGGTTATTGTTATGTACGTGGCTAAACGTGAAGTCCGCTTCGGAAAGCCATAACGGCAGCTCTTCGTCTCTAGTTAATCACGTCAGCGTCGTATAGCGAACAGCTGACTAATTACCTAAACGAGGTCTGGAGAAATACCTTTGTTGTTCATTGTCGTGTTATAATTCAGAAGCTGAAGAATATCAGGTTGAACGGAGCTCTGCGTATCTTCTCACGGCCTTAGTTCAGGTCACGGCTTCACACAATCGTCCACTTCCTTGTTTTTCAGCTTCTTGTTGTTGTGGAAGTGGTGACGTCACCCGTTCTCTATCTATCTGCGGTTGCACGCACGGTTTTACGTGCACGCCCGCGCCCCCTACTGGTAAAAATGGAGCAGAGGTTAGCCGCCTGCTGGAAGGAAAAATGATTGTCTTGGTTTTAAGGCAGAGGGCGTCAAATTTACTTTTAATAACGCCCACACTGATAAAGTTGGGCTCACATCAAGGGTCATGCATACCTAGTTGCTTCTTTTTCTTTTTCATCTTCAGGGTACTCGATGTACGAGCTGGACACCACCTTATCTGCCCCCATCTCACCATGTCCCTGCCATCCTCCTCTGTTACACCAACCCTCTGAATGTCCTGCTTCACTACATCTATGACTCTCCGCTGTGGTCTTCCTCTTTTCCTCCTGCTTGGCAGCTTACAAACCACCCACTCCACCCTACCTGCACTCTTTTCTTCACCTCTGCACTGCACTGCATTGTTTTGGATAGTTGACTCAAGGTAGTTAAACACATGAACCATTTTTCCTGATACATCCCTGATGTAATCCTACCCTGACCTTGAACCCATCAGTCACTCTTGCCATACAATCAATCCTACCATAAAATTATCCTGGATAATGCTGGTGCATGTCCCATACAGTAATATCAAACACAATTCGGTCCGCATGAAGGCCTCAAAAAAATCAGCAGAATTTCATGCTATTTACCTCCTTTTTATATCGTTTAATCAATCACAACAATAATAAAAATAAATCTAATCTTTGGGAAATTCACATGTACCACATGTAAACTGCCTTCTAATAAGAAAATATATGGACATAGACATTTATGCAGGTTAATCTACATTTATTGCTGGGCACAATTTGCAAAGGGCCCTGGACCTTGGGTTTGACATATGTACTTTAGGGCCAGTAAAATATAACAGAAATATACAATATTATAACACCATCATTGCTATTTTCTTGTGTGTCCTTAATATACTCTTGCACGTCCTATACAGCATCCTCATATACAATTTGGTCCAGATAAAGACATCAACAAATCAACAAAAATTAATAAATCAATTATGTTAAGGTCATTTCAGCTATTCATGTTCATAAACATGAACATTATTCATGTTCATGTTTATGAACATGAATAACTCATAAACATGAAACACTCTACACAAGCTGTCTTGTGTAGAGTGTTTACTAAAACTTGCTTACTAATTAACTCTTATCAGTTATATCCTGTTTTACTTTTATATTTAGTTGTCTTTTAGGTATTATTTTAAGTTTTATTTCCTCCCCTGTCTAGTGATCTTGATTATCTGCACCCTTAGCTTGTTTTCCCCAGGTGTCTCCACTCTGTCCCGATTAGCCTTCTGAGTATGTGTGTAAGTATGCAATTAATCTCAGTCAGTAAAACTCCCGAAAATCATTGGGATGGCAAACCAAGCCGATAAAAAATATTAATTTTCGGCATTTGTTTATCCTGATGGGTTACCTAAAAATTAACATTATTAAAATGGTTAGTTTTGTGTGAGTCAACTAATTTATTCATCAACTAAATGATGACCTTTGATCTCAGAACTACACATTCATTCCTTATGTATCACATTCAGAATTAACACGGGATTATTCAAAATAGCACGACTGTCTACACCATGATCAAAGGTTATATATTATCTTCCAATTTAAAAAATATGCTATGACAATCATCAGTCAGAAATGTTTTAATCCAGTGAGAAACACATATAAAGCAACCACAAAAAACATATCTAGGTCATTTTAAGAAGAGAGCCCACAAGTCTCCATAATTATTTCTGCTATATTAAATAATTTAATTCTCGTTCACATAAACGCAAAAACGATGCGAATATCGTGATATTACAGACAAACAGCGGTGTTGGGAAATTGAAACGTATCGGCACAGTGTTTCATGAAAGCGTCTCCATTGCTCGTCTTTGTGTGCGCTACTTCCCCTTTAAGAGAACCATGGCACCTCTGAAGTCGAGGCAGACATTTTTCAATGCAAGATTTTTTCTTGCATAAATTATGTTCATGACGTAGTGCAAAAGGCCAATTTTGTAGCAATTTTGTCCGACTTTACAGCTCAAATAGGATTCTGTGAGACACCTCAAGGATTTTTGATTATCTGAACTGTTGCAGAAAGGGCATCGTCATTAAATATTAAGAGACAGGAGATCCTAACATTGCAAGCCTCCTTATCAATGCAAATACCTCTTTTGTGTGCAGTCACAGCGCCTGTCTGGGAGCTGAGATGAATTTTTAATTATGTGTGACTGAAACAAACTGTGACAAGGACCTTTTTAAGAGCCGGGGATTACAGAAAATAAGCTGCATATACGCGGTAAGTTGAATATAATAACCGGACCGTATTCTGGCTTGCGCTTCGCGCATAGCAGCGAAATGGCGAGAGGAAATGAGTTTTGGTTAATATGCAATGTTCGTAATTAGCATAATTTATATATTTATGATAAAGAGAGGGAAATACATAATATTCGGTCTCTTGGCACGGATCGAGATGATTTCCGTCGCCTGTGCTCCGTGCTTGCTGCTTGTCCTCAAAAGTGGCCGACGCGGCGAGACTTTTATTGGCCAGGATGGGGGTGGGGAGCCCATCAACACCCGCTGAAGTTTTTGACAGATCCTCATATCTAACGGGGCATTGCAGCAGGAAACGCACCGTCTCGAGTCTTTTTGTGATCCGTGGTGGACGGGTAACCACTTAACGTTCACGACCAGCGTGTTTGATCACGTTTTCTGCTGCTTAAGTGCAAAACAGTATGGCCTGTTTACAGGCCCCTTTCAAATAGTCTACTCGTGCAATGACTATAATAGCAATGAATTGAAAAGAAAGAAAAAACCCTGTCCTCTGCATTTGGTTCTGTTTAAGCTGGGTTTGTCATTAAAGTGCAGACACTGTGGGCTTATCCGGGAAACTTGATACATATTTTAATTTCTAAAATGGTTCTACATTTTTTAAATCACTTTTTTTTCTTCTTTTTTGTTAACCCAGAATGCCAGGAAGACAGTGATTGTGGTGGTGCAGCAAGCCATGAACTCCCAGGATCTGCCTGCCAAAGATGCCCCACTTACTGTCAATGAGCAGGTAACACTCATGTGTTTGTTAGGGAGAAGTGGACCCCCCCCTTCCCAACCTACTCTTGCAGTGAGCTTAACTAAACATAACTTTGCCTTCGACTTGTTTGCTGCTGTTTGCTCCTGTCACCCTCCATGCGCCATCGTGCCACTTCATAATGGAATGATTAACAGTCACACAGCAGACCACTGAGATCCCGATGCACTTTTGTGTTTTATAGACTAATAATACCTATGCTTGTGTTGGAAACAGTCTTTGAATTGCCATGCTTAATAATTAATTGTGGTTTTTCTCTCTCTAGTAACATTGTGTCTAGACATAGTCAGCAAACAAAAGCAATGCTCTTCACAGAAGCACAAAGGCAACCTTTAAGAAAGCATTGCTTGAACTGCTTGTTGGCTGATACTCTTATCATTGTTTATGTGTACTCATGCTCTTTTCATTTATGTCTCTTTTTTTTGTTTTGTTTTTTTGTTTGGTTCATTTTGTCCTAACATGTGCTCGGCTTCTCTGTTCTCCTTAGCCATTCACTGTCTGACTGCAGAAGTCTTTTTTCAGCCATTTAAATCCTGCACTTTGAAATTCCCTGCCAAAGACAACCAGGTATGCATCCTCCTCTCTCTTCCTGCATTGTCTCTCTGCACCTTGTCCTCCAGCCCAGGTTGTCTTGCTGCCCCTCCACTAGGTCTGTCATTATTGCATACCATGAGTCATCAGCTAAGTTCTTCCAGAGGGAATTGACAAGGTGGAGAAATACTGAATTTACAGAATTTTTGTTTTACACCCCTCTGGTGCTAGGTCAGATGAGAATTATCTCCTGTTGTTTCATAAAATAATTGCACATAACTATTTTATTACATTTTTAATACAAACTCAAAGAAAAGCAGAGGCCTTCTTTGCATTTGAGTCCTCTTAGATTAAAATCCTGATCGCTGTGCAGGTCATTGTGATGTCTGGCCATGAAACCATTCGAGTGCTAGAAGTAGAAGTCGATGCGTCTTCAGCCTCTTCAGCAGCTGATGGGAAGAGCGAATGCAAAACTGATGAGGGCGTGGCTGAAGCTGGAGAGCAACCTGATGCCAGCAGCACCCAGGACAGCCCCACAGTGCCCCAGAGCACAGGGGGTGGTGTAGGTAAATCATTGTCATCCTTGATAATGCTGGATAGCAGAGAACTCACTTCTCATATATCCAGACTTGTAGTGAATTCCTAATAACATCTGTGTGATTTTAAAAAAAAATCAACAACTTAAAATGTAATTAATAACCAACTCTGGCTGTGCTCCTGCAGTGCTGGGTGAGCAGCAGGTGGTGTCTGTGGAGCCTCCAGCTCCTACGGTCCAAACTCTGACCCCTGCTGTTCCCATCAGCGTGTCTCTGCCCCAGCACCAGGCCGCCATGCCCATCACTGTGCAAGGCTGTCCACAGGTCTGACTTTTTGAGATGCACACACACTGCACCTCATATTCATATTTAACCATCTGAGAAACAAAGTAGTTTTGCTGTCTGATTTTAAAGGTCGGTAGAAAGAGCTCAGAGTGGGTGGGAAAGCCATTTGGATTTTTCTCATTTTACATATTATTCTTGTAGAAAACGAATGCACCAGAGAGCCAAGTGTCAGTATTATTACATTAAAAAAAATCATTGTAGGTGATTTAGTGAGGTTGTATACCGATGCCATTGTGCACTGTGAAAGTAAAAAGGATGAGCAGTTTAATCCAAGTTGCTGAACACATAGCCTGAGGCTATTAGCACAACATTTTCAGCAATTTCAGCAGTCAAAAGTAAAACCCTTAACATGCTTTTTAAAAAAAAAAAAGCTTAATAGTGGAGTTTTCAGTCCACACACAGTAACCGAAGTATGACTATTTAGTTTCACTGTGTAAAAACACAACATTAAAAATAATAAGGAGACAAAATAGTCC